CGAGAGCGCCTCCGGCTTCGAGTATGAATGAAACATACACTGCATGGAGTGTTTTGCCCTCCGCGATGTTCATCTCGGCTTATTCTGTGTCCGAATAAAACATCAGATCATGCACAGTCTATCCTGTCTCTTTGAATTTAAATCTATATTTATTCACACCGGCTGTTGAAAACCTCTATGCGAACACACTTGCCAGAAAAAGTGCGGGGGACGAATTTACGTGATATTAAAAGTGGGGGGGACACATCCCCCGCGTTCCCCGCGTAATCTACGCCCCTGCATCCAACATCATCTGCATACATACAGTATATACCTTATTCAGGTTAGATGGCATATTGAATTGAATATAGATGAAAACGAGGCTGTGAGAGATAGACTTACTGTCTTTACAATGGCATGCAGTGTATAAACTGTTTTATGGAGTTTTGTCTACTGAAAGTTTTTCTTTTCATCAGTTGAACAATCAGGATGTCATTAAACAACAGTACAATCAATTGAACACACTGTACTTCTGTCCTTCACAGCCTCGTTTCCTGTCAAAAATGAAATATGATGCTACCCTGACTAAGGTCTTTTACGTATATATATATATATATATATAATATAGCAAATCTCAACGGCTTGATTGCCTGTATCGTTGCAAAATGTAAACTGTAAATGTAAAATGTATTGTCGCCCAGCTCTAATCTGTGAAATTTGACTATAAGGCATGAAGATATTATAAACATTAACATCATAATTTTCTGTAAAGCGGCTTTAAAACAATGTGTATTGTGAAAAGCACTATACAAATAAATTAGACCTCGAGTTTTTATCCTTCTGCATGTTTGATTTGCTTAGCATTTTATTCTTATTCTCTCTGTCTCTCTCGCTCTTTCTGTCATGTTATAGCTACAACTTCTGGAAAAGAAGAAGCAGCTGCTGGTGCAGATGGGAGAGGCTCAGGAGCTCAAGGAGCACGTGGACCGGCGTGAGCAGGCGGTTGGCAAGGTGCTGGAATGTTGCCTGACCCCAGAACAGATGCGTGACTACAGTCACTTTGTGAAGATGAAAGCAGCCCTACTGGTAGAGCAGAGGCAACTGGATGACAAGATCAGGCTCGGAGAGGAGCAGCTCAGGGGACTTCGAGAGAGCCTGGGGCTGGGGTTCGGGATGGGGTACGGGCAATACTGAGAAGTGCTGAATGAGTGTATGTATAACAGGATTTGAGATGGACCGAAAAGACCTTGAAATGCAGTATGTTTTAAAGAATGGACATTACATTGATGTGATAATTGAGTACAGAAAAGCACAACTAACTACCACAAACTGATGTTCAGTTCGATTAAAAAACACTACATCACTACTTGAAGTTGTCTGTTAGGACTTCAGCTGCACTAATAACCGTTCGGTAAAGTTATTTTGGGCTTACTCAGTTAACATCTAACACCGCCAAAGAACGCACGTGTGCATATACTTCTCATTGAATACAGCAGGGGAGTGTCCATGCACTGCTATTTATTTATTTATGTGTGTATATATATTCATACACACAATATATATATATTAATCAGTAAATTAGAGAATTCTGGTTTCAAGGTCACATTGCTTTAATAATTTACAGCCTCACGTACCAATTTCATTCCGTTCTTTGGCATGTTAAACGGTATTGTTCCTTTTAAAATTTATTGTTTTGTTAAGTATTTGTATGTACATTAAAAACATGTACATAGTGGATGCTGATGTGCATCTTTAAGTCACAGAAGTTTCATTCTGTCATAACTGGAACTTTTCTTTAATGAAACATTGTGGCGTATTATTGCAGCGTTTTCAAAAGGGGCCATTTATACTTACTTTTTATATTCAGTATGCCTTATAGTACTTGCTACACTTTTCTCAGATAATTATTATTGCCAAAGATAAAAATTTATGTCTACATAAGAATATAAATGTGCTATGCCTGTTTTGAGAAATGACATGCATAAATGTCTTGAGAAGATCAGCCTTGCTTTACCAAACCTCTTATATTGACATGTTTTTTAAATAAGAGTTTTTAGTTAATTGAGCACTGTTTAACCTTTATGTATCATCTCAGAACATGGCAACTTTTGAGGCAATTGCTACTAGAATTCCTTTTCTTTGTGAGAAACTGGACATTTCTTTAGAAGGAAGGAGAATGCTACTTTGTTGACCATTTACTGCCTTGAAAGTCTTGTCTTTTTTTTTTTTTATAGCAAAACCAGCTTGAGATGAAGAATAAGGAGAGACAAAGAAGATTGAGATAAAGTTGATTTGTATTAGAAGGGCTTGTTGTACAGGAACAAGGAATTAATGAATGTATGCATTTGGTTTCAAAATTGCAGATTAAAAAGGTAAATGTGCCTTTGTGCTTATTTTTGCTGTTTTATTTTATTTTTTTGCTTCACTCTGTATAAAATGTATAGTTTAATAACTATAAACTACTCTTGTTCATTTTTGTTGTATCATACATTGTAAACAGCATAGAGCTGAAGATGAAAGGAAATACTTGGTCTATTGATAATTTTCCTCTTTTGATTGAAAAGATTCATTGTATAACATGTACAATTAAAAACAATATCTTATCAGGGTGAAGCATTTGTTTTTACAAGTTTTTTTTAATTTTTTTTATAATGTTGTTTGAGACTCTTTTATTCCGAAACTATTAAAACATTTTGCTAATTTACCTCAAACAGAGACTAAAGAGTATTTGTACTTTTAAAAATACATTATCAACTAATTGTGACCTAAAAACTTTAATAATGTTTTAACATTAATAATCATTTTAATGTTTGAGGTGTGACCATGTGTGACTTAATAGATTAATAGCTTCAGCTTGTCGAAACGTTACGTAACTAATAATTAGCGAGGGTGTTGATTGGATAGAAGGAAGTGCCAAGTGAGCTTATTAAAACTACTTGGCGGGAAACGTAAACGTAAATAAAACGTGCAGGCATTGTGTTTTTGATTCTCAGTGCTGGCTTACAATCGGCTACATGATGTTTTGCTTAGTACGAGTGCTGAAAAGCACAAGATTTACACCCAGACAAAATGTATTAACCCAGCGTTTCTACATTAACTCTAATTCTGCAAAAGGCAGAGTCGGTGTCTTGGTAAGTTCAACAGAAGGAAACTCCAAGTGATTTCCACGAATCGGTTCTTTCGAACGATTTTGAAGTATAAAAAAAAACCCCGACTAAGTTCTCTTACATCATTGCATAATTTACACGTGTTCAAATGTTCTAAACATTCTAACAAAGCTATAAGCTCATAATGCGGGTTTCCGCTATTGCGTTCTTGTGAGATAGTTTTATTAGGCTTGTTTTTAGAAATGTGTCTGTTCAGATTGATGCAGCCGTGAATTAACTAATATAGAAGAACCTAAATCTGATATGCTTTTTAACTGCTAAAATGCACTTACATTTCAAATTTCAATTAAACATTAAAAACTGTCGTAAGCCTTTTGCAGTACGTTTCGTAAACCTGTCATTCGGACTGTTTGGATTCATTCCGCTTAGTGAACGAAATCCGGTTTTGTGAACCTACTCAACCGATTCGTTTAAAAGGTCCGACTCAAAACTCGTTCACGAGTTGGACATCTCTTGAATGCATCTACAATGATTGATTTGGCAATCTTGTGTAATCATACATGCATCCTTGCCCCCTACACTTTTAGGAGAGTGTATTTGTGATGGCCTTTATCTCGATTGCCGTCCTTGGTCCGGCTGGATGGATCCTGTCCAACGCGTGTGACTCCCACAGAAAACAGCCATGACTGAGGAGGATGCCTCCAGATGGATTTCAGACACATCTTTGTAGTGTAGTGGTTTGAGTTGTACATGATTATGATTGATTTGTAACACATTTTTACCCAAATCTGCTTAAAATAAACATCAGTCTGCATAAGGTGTGATTTGTTTGGTAAATGTAAAATTAGCACTTAAATGATTGCGCTGTCTGTTCTTTTCTTGTTACTGGCTTCGAGCAACTTCTGAATTGTAAAAGTGTGCCTTGATGTCATTGTCACAATGATTTCTGAAACCACAAATTGACTTCAGGTCAAGTGAGTAAATCCCTTTAATAAAACTCATGAAAGGCAGTGTAACAAAGGAAAAACACTAAAAGCAAGATAACATTTACAACCACAAAAAAACCTACTGTACAACCCTAATAATGCTGCTGTTTGATGCAGTGTCAGTTTTTCTGAGATCAAGAGCTTTAAGTTCTGTCTGTACTGGGGAAAAAATCATTCATTTTGTAATGTGGGGAGCACTGGAGTGAAAACTTTGTGTTTAATCATAACATAGCCTTGCATACACATGTATGACTCAACTTGGCTGTAGAAATGGTATGGTTTCTTCACAATGGAACCACAGAATATACAGAGTATCACTTATACAGGATGTCATAGTGGCCTGGGCGGTAGAGCAGGAAGATGCGTGGCTCACTTCCTTCAGGGAAGACATGATTATTCACCGTTCCACCCTCTCCTCTGTCCATGTATTCCACTAATATGGACACGTTCAGTGCCTGTGCTAAGGCAATGATATGGATGTGGTCGCTCTCTTTCGACATGGGTTCCACCTCCTAAAAAGTAAAACATGCATTATTAGATGTTAATGTTTATTTAATATTGCTTTATTTTTAAATTACATTTTTACCATAGTCTTAAAAAAAAATAGTTCACAAGTAATACTCTTAGGTGTCACTCACCTGCTGGCAAAACTCTTTAACAGAACGGCCGCCCTCTATGAAATGCTGAAAAAACACATGCTCCCGCTGCAGGTATCCCGAGGTGAGAAGCCTCAGGTAAACCACTATGTAGTCAGACACACTCTGGTCATTGAAGGAGCTCAGCAGTTCACCAAGTGATTGCTGCTTTTCACACAGCTCAATCAGGTCCATGAACTGACAAAGGAGAGAAACCACAGTGAGCATAAGTACAGTTACAGGACTTAAAGGGGTAATTCACTGCAGACAAAGTAAAAGATAAAAGTTGGCTGTCGGTGCAGTAGAAACACAAGTAGAAAAAACAGATAAATGGCTGTTGTGAAAAAAGGTACAAAAACTGAAACACCCATAATGCACTGGGCTCGATCAGACTATTCGTGAGCAGGGATACAAAAATGCGGAAGTACAATCTCTAGTTTTCACAAAAGCTCTGGAGCTGTCAAACGTCGCCAGATAAAGCGCATTACATCTTTCAGTGGACTTTTGGTGAAAAATAAACACTCGGGTGGACTTGTACTCAAACTTGACAGGGACTTGGACATTTTGGACTTTAAGTACAGTCAAATCCACTTCATGTGTTACATGAAAGATAACAAAAAATAAGTAACATCATAAAATTAAAATGACAAGACATTAATAAACGTCTCCCACTCAAACTCATTGGTTAAGGACTTGGACTCGAAAGATAACAAAAAATAAGTAACATCATAAAATTAAAATGACAAGGCATTAATAAACGTCTCCCACTCAAACTCATTGGTTAAGGACTTGGACTCGACTTGAACTCTACAAGACGGATTCGGACCCAACGCTATATACTACCAACATTTTAACAACATAACGCTGGTTGAAAATCTGTGAACTTACCCTTGAAGCATTGAGCTTTAAATCTGAGATGGCATGTCATTTGAGCATAGTTTTTAACTGATAAATTTTCCAACTCACAGTGTTGTGAAAGTCCTCGATAGTGAACTCGGTGAAGCCCTGGTTTACAAGGTCCAGTTTGCTCTTAGCTGCCACAGCTTTAAACCTATAGTGCCAAAATTGAGACAGGTCTGGTACTTAGACATTCACTACAATGACAGAAAGAAAAAACATTTACAAAATGGTACTTTGCGTAAATAAGTTTGCTGCTATCTCCAGAATAACTGCAACTACTCCAAATAAAATCAATGGTATCTGCTTTAAGCACCCAAATCAAACAGTACACTACCTTTGCAGCTCTTTGCTGTCGTCCAGTAGTGACTCCAAATGTGCAAAGCCAAAAGCTCTGTAGAAACAATTTCCATCTGGCCGTGTCTTACGAATGTGCGAATACTTTTTGTGAAGGTCCTATAAACAAGATGTAAGAATAACAGTTTTACAGCAGGTTTCAGGCACTTGCTACATGTAAAGTAAGCTCGTGAAAATGTAGTGACCTTTATCTTGAGCTGGTAAATGGCATCCTCTGCAGCATATTCACCCTGAAGCACAGAGAGATCTTGTCTGTCCGACACTAAAGGGTTAGTGGTGGCTATCTATTAAAACAAAACAAGCAATTAGAGGGTTAGTTCATTTAGTCATCCTCATATTGTTCCAAACCTGCTTGACTTGCTTTCTTCAGTTGCACACAAAGAGAGATGTTAAGCAGAATGTTTTTGTTCTTTTCCATACAATGAATGTGAATAGGGAAAGATGCTGTCGATCTCTTCAAAAAAAGTCCACCTGACTTATGTGCTATATAATATTCCAGGTCTAAAGGGCTGTTCACACCAAGAACAATAACAACAATGATAAACTTTTATAAAGAGAATAGCACAGTCAAGACCACAACTATAATGATACAGAAGAATGATAATAATGATATAATGATATAATGATTCAAAATTATTTTTTTCAGCTCAAAAACCAATCAGAATCCACACAGTCAAGACCACAACTATAATGATACAGAAGAATGATAATAATGATATAATGATTCAAAATGATTTTTTTCAGCTCAAAAACCAATCAGAATCCTCCATATTTAAAGAGCTTGAGAATTTAAAGCTGCAGATGACATAACTGCAGCATGCACTTATAATAAACAGAACATCGCTATGCATTGGTGTGGACGATAATATAGTTACAGTTATCTTTATAGCATTTAAAGCGGCAGACAACATAACTGCATCTTCCTTAGAATAAACTGAATGTTATCGTTCGTTGTTGTGGATGTTAATATAGTTATCGTTCATGGTGTTAACAGACAATTCAGTTCTGTGACATTAATGGCAGAAATTAAATGCTTCAGTTTTAAATTCTGGATTGTTCAAAGCTATGGTATGGCTTCTGAAGACTTGGAAAAATGTGCACAAGTTGTGTGGTCTACTTTAAGCTTTTTTTTTTTTTTTTGCGTGGGTGTGTGTTTTTTTTGGAGTGTGACAGCCCAGGTCTTTAATTGTATGGAATTAAAGAACAGCATAAACATTCTGCCTAACATTTCTCTTACATAGAAGAAAGAAAAATAGCTTTGAGAAGAGGGTAAATGATCACAGAATGGTATGTTTTGTTGAACTATCCTTTAAGTACAACTCTATTCATCATTAAAAAACAGCTAACAATTTGACAAAACCACAAAATCATCAGTGATTTGTTCAGTAACAGTTAGCATATATCCAAATAACAAGCCTTTTTTTAAATGTGACATTACTCTGAACACTCACCTCTTGCTGAATACGGTCCTGCTGTGCCATAATGGCTTCGTCATATGCAAGGCAGTTCACTCCTGCAAAATAAATAAGTATATATGTATATATAAAGGGAGGTAGAGAGAGAGTCATAAAAGTTTTAGACACCTGCCACACAAAAAAACGGACCTGAGCACACAGCAGTTTAGAGTGATGACACTGCTAATGCTGCAGTTTACTGTCTTACCCTCGCTGACTTGCGTCACATTCGGACATAATGTAAACAAAGTCGTGTGTGAGGAGTCCTCTAACCATCATCTAACTCAGTATAATAACCGCCCATAACTGTTACCACACAACTACAACACAAAGAGATTCACCACTTAACGTTACCTCCATAAACCCTGAGTGAAGATTAGTGTATATTGCAGTCTACAGCTGATTGGCAAACAAGACAACTATCCTATTTAAACCGAGAGCGTAAAATCAAAGTATTTCAGTCTTAATGGAAATATGACATGTTAGGAAGATTGGGTTTTATTTTTGGTTAAATGAGCCCAGAGTTTACTCTTTGTACAGCTAATGCTCTGCATTTCCTCCTCCTGCTCTTACAGCAGTTAAAGCCTAATTCTCTAATGCAAGCTCCCTCATGCAGGACCCTGCAAGATGTTTTGCTTTCGCATGTCAGCTGATCTTTTAAACTGCGTGACGGAATGTTATTTCTGCACTTACCCTCCGTCTCTCCCTGTGATGATACCTGCTTCTCGTCCGCCATCTTGATTGAGTTCTTTTTCCACCGCCCCCTCTCTCATGTACACTTCCGGGTCGTGTCATTCAGTTACAGTCAGGATCACACGTGCTGCCAGTGTTTTTGTTTTAAACTGAATACCTTTACTTAAGCTGGGTATTTAAAATGTTGTTGTTTACCAGACTTGCAGTGCCGCTGAGGACCCTTCAAAAGCTGACCAAGGCACACAGATGGCATCATACTAGTTTGACAAGTTAGTGTGTATTACTGATGATTATGTGACATTTCCATAGGAACTAATAGCAATTTTAAAATGGTTACATCTTAACCTGTTAAATACTTGTATTTAATATGTATTTTAACCTCATGCTTTAACACTGCTCTGGACGATTTAGCAAAATTAGCATATAATATGTATGTATGGATAATATGTATTTTTGTTCTAAATTCTAACTATTTACAACTTGTGTTCACAGATGAACTGATTGAAAACATGGACAAAAAAGCAACATGGGACAGATTCTATACAGAAAATGGAAGCAAAGGCCAATTCAAAAATTTTGAATGGTTCTTTGGATTTCACTCAGTCAAGGACTTCATTCTTCCTGTACTTCAGACCATGTCTCATTCCCACAGTGGCCCATTGAACATCCTGGACATGGGTTGTGGCACATCCGCATTAGGACCTTGTATCTACAGAACCTCTCCATGTGCTGTGAAGGTCATCTGTGCTGATATCTCTTCAGTTGCAGTGAAACTTATGCAGAAGCACAGTAATTCTACATTGGTACAGCCATGCAATCCATCCTCTGCTCTTGCCTTCCTGGAGATGGACTGCACACAGTTGAGAGGATACTTTGTGGCCAGAAGCCTGGATTTGATATTAGACAAGGGTACCACAGATGCTTTAGTTAGGTCTAAAGAAGGTCAAGTTAAGGCTGGACAGATAGTGAAGCAATGTTTACAGGTGCTGAAGCCCTCAGGAACTCTCCTACAGTTCTCAGATGAGGATCCTGATGCCAGGCTTGTATGGCTTGAGAGAGAAGTTAGAGGAGGAGAACTGGCAGCTGATGTAGGAGTTCAAGAGGTGGGAGAATTGAGAGGGGTCAGCTATTTTTGCTATCAGATTTCTCCTCGTACTTCTGAAAGGGTTTCTAAGTGACAATACAGTCTTTGTACAAAAATATTGAACACTGAGAGCATAATATTTTTTTTTTCTTGCACAATGTACTTGCCTGATCAAAAACCCATCTACATTGTTTGCATCAGATGAGCAGGAAACAATACAATTACACTATAACAATTTTTCAGACTTTTGTAATAAAAAAATCTTAGAAATTTTTGAAAAATCTTTCAGAATTAAAAATAAATGTTTTGTCATGTGGTGCAAAATTTTTCCATCAGGGGCAAATCAGTTCCAACAAGGCGTTTAATTGCCCGCCCACGTGTAGAAATCGAATATTCAAGCTGTTTATTCATTTTTCCATCCATTAACGAAAAACGAAAATTTAAGCTGAATTCTCGTTTTTCGCTTTTTGGGAAAAAAAACAAAAAACGAAAAAGGAGCCGTTTTCTCATTTTTCTACTTTCAATATTAAATCAAAAAACAAAAGATCGAATGATACATGGATTCTGATGGTTTGAGATACATAAAATCTGTTTGTACCTCTATAGGAGGGTTCCCTTTCAAAGCTTTGGTAACCTGCTGTTAAGTGGGGAGGTATACTGTCAATGTAGAACTGTGAACCATAGCCGTTGAACTGTGAACCAAAGCCACTGAATTGCCCCATCATTTGGCCTTACACAGGAAGTCTAATATCCATGTCATGTTTTGTCCATATTAACCGCCGCCAGGGGAGCAATATCTCACTTTTCTTCACAGATGCTCTTAAAAGACTTGACTAATGCTCAGAGTTTAACTAGAAATTCATAGGACACAAATATTGAGTAATATTGCATATTATTTTACATTTAGATGGTCCTCACTGCAGAACATAAGATCCAGGGGGCGTGGTTGGATCCAGATCCAACTCCTCTCACCTTACATATACCTAAACCTGTCTCCATCCCCTGATCCCTAAACCCACCAATCTCCGCCCCCTAGATGTGGATCCAACCACGCCCCCTGGATCTTGTGTTCTGCATTGAAGGGCTACTGTTAATCCCAGTGATCTGTTTAACCTTCTAAAGGGGGAAAATTTCCGATAATGCCCGATTGCAATGAAAACACAATACAAAACAAAACAAAATTATAATAAGAACATAAAACTCAGTGTAAACTATATTGTACTTACGTACGTATGCTTTTTGTTATTTTTATATTAAAAACTAAGCAAGTTTAATATATTTAGATTCAGTTCCGACTACAATGGTGGCACCATGATTAAAAAGGACAGAGAAATTATGTTAAAATATTGGTACTTTGACAAAACACTATTAAAAGTTAACATACCTAACCAAAATTTACTTGAGTATAGCTAAAACGTTTCAAAGTGCCATGTTTTAATCACATAGACAAATAAATATTATCACTGACCAGTTTTGCCAACTGCTTTCAAATGAAAGTAACTAAAACAGTCGCTAAATGTTGCTAGATTGTCTTAATGGCGAGTTCACTGATCTATATAAATATAAATATAGATCAGTGGGAGAGTGTTGGAGTCTAGATAAGGTTTGTCCAAGAAATTGATTTTGTTGCTAGGCTTTTGAAAAAAGTCTCAAAAGGGGCGAGGAATCACTAAATTGGCAACACTGACTACAACATAATCAGTTATTAATATTTTGTCGGTCCTCTCTTGTTTTCGCATGTGTTCATAATTTCTTTGTATGACAGCATCGCCAAAAATTATGACCTTATTGGCATGTTGTCCTCTCTTGTTTTTGCATGTGTTCATAATTTCTTTGTATGATAGTATGGCCAAAAATTATGACCTCACTGGCATGTTTCATTGCATTATTATCACAAATAAAACAATTGATTCTAAGCAACTATGCAATATGCTTCCAAAATCTTTAACACTTTTTTTTTTTTTTAATTAAGAGTGAAGATGTCAGATTTTCTAGGCCGGACATCACTTTTGGCCACAAGTCAAGTCAAGTCACCTTTATTTATATAGCGCCGACTAAGCAAGCCAGAGGCGACAGCGGCAAGGAACCATAACTCCATCGGTGACAGAATGGAGAAAAAACCTTGGGAGAAACCAGGCTCAGTCGGGGGGCCAGTTCTCCTCTGGCCAGACCAAACCAGCAGTTCAGTTCCAGGCTGCAGCAAAGTCACAACTATGGCAGTTCTTCAACTTTCCAACTGACCGTCAAGCCATGCTGCAAAACAAGCCACTTTTATGAGGATTGTGGGCTTTCCTGGAGTTGTTGGAGACATTGATGGAACTCATGTTCACATCAGTGCTCCAACTGTAAACGAGGAGACATACCAATAGAAAACAATTTCAAAGCATCAGTAACAATTTGTGATCATTTTGCACAATGCAAAGCATTTAAAAAAAAAACTTTTACATATTAAAATATTTCAGTGTCTTAATTAACTGATTTTATTTTCGTTACATTAAATGATTAGTGTTGTGCTGCTGGGACTTCACATGAGCAGGCTCATTATTGGCTGTCTCAGAAGTCGAGGGCAGACATTTTGGGTCAACATCATTGTAGTCCTTTGTTTGCAAGACTTCAGTGTCACCTCAGTCAACACTTAAGAATCAGTCTTAGACATCACTTATTGTCAGTTGATTCCACTTTCATCATCAAATGTGACCCTGGACCACAAAACCAGTCTTAAGTGTCAATTTGTCAAAATTGAGATTTATGCATCATCTGAAAGCTGAATAAATAGCTTTCCATTGAATGTATGGTTTGTTAGGATGGGACAATATTTGACCGATATACAGCTATTTGAAAATCTGGAATCTGAGGGTGCAAAAAAATCTAAATATTGATAAAATCGCCTTTAAAGTTGTCCAAATGAAGTCCTTAGCAATGCATATTATTAATCAAAAATTAAGTTTTGATATATTTACAGTAGGAAATTTACAAAATATCTTGATGGAACATGATCTTTACTTAATATCCTAATGATTTTTGGCATAAAAGAAAAATCTATAATTTTGACCCATACAATGTATTGTTGG